GGGTCATTTTTCACAAAAGGTTCTGTATCTCTGTGCATCTGAGATCCTCTCCTTCCTTCCCTTCTGTCCCCTCCTCCTCTCTCGAGTTGCTGATGGTTTGCAGTCAGTGTTGCTCTGGTGACCATGGTGACCAGCAGGTGGATCACTTCCTCTCAGGTTCGAGATTCACACTGTGCACCACCTCATCGGGATGCCCCTCAGCCTCTCTAATGCAATTCTTCTAAGCCAGAGGGCAGCATCCTACACCCTGGACTTTTATCTTTTCATCAGCAACACAACCATCTCACGACCTGGACTTAACCTGAGAGCCAATCCAGTCTTTCCTTTTTCTCCCCAGGACCTGCCCCAGTTTAATAATTAAATCCAAAATTTCACTTTATACATAGTTCTTGAATCTTTCCCCCCCTGCTCTCTTCCCCTGTCTCGGGAATTCTAATTCTTCTGCTTCGACTGCTTTAGTTGCCTGTGGATTGATCTCCCTGCTTTCAGAGTCTGTCTCTTTAAATATATTCTTCCCATAGAGATCAATGAGACTCATTCAAATTAAAAGTTAGCCTTTCCACTCAATTAAATTCTTCTTCCTCTTTCATTCTTTTTTTCCTTCAGTTTTTATTAAAAAAATAGAATCATGCAGCATTCATATTTTTTGGTCACTGGCCTACTTCACTTAGCATAGTGTCTTGAAGGCTCAATTATGTTGGGCATCTGTTAGAATTTCCAGTTTTCTTTCTTTTGATGGCTGAATAATATTCATTGTGCATATATACCCATTTTGCTTGCTTATTCATTCACTGATGGACAGTGGGCTGCTTCTATTTTTTTTTTTAATCTTTTGTGAGTAGTGTTGCTATATTTGTGACTCCCTTCTTTCAAATAATTTACATATAGACCCAGAAGTGGAGTTACCATATCACTTGGCAATTCTACTTTTTAATTTTGATAAATTATTAGTCTGGTTTCCACAGTGGTTATACCATTCTGTTTCTTTAGATAATAGCCATCTTATTGAGTGTGAGTGACCTAATTTATTCTCAGAGTACAAACTTCAAGCACTTTTTTAATAGCATATGACATCATATGCAGCCTATCGTAAATGAATCGAAACTTACAAACTGATCAGAACAGGGCTTGGTACGAAGTAAGCTTTCGATGATGTCCTTTTCCTTGAGGACAATGTCGTGGATAATGAGAATCATGGTCCAGTACTTTTACCTTCTGCACTGATTTATTTCGGCCATTCTCTCTGGAACAATCCTAAACAACTCCGACTTTTCTTCAAGCACCATGTTGATATTTTGGTTCTGAGGAGGAGGTTCTCCTTCTCCACCCTTTTCACACTTTCTGGGAATGTGCTGTGACGGACTGTTGGGTTCAGTCTGTCTGCCCCAGACCTAGTGAGTTTCAGGGCTGAGATGGTCTTGTTCTGTGATTCAGTCCAGGTCCCTGCCTAGTGCCTGAAACAGTTCAGGTGACAGGAGGAACCATTCAATGAATGAATGGAAAATGCCAGGGTTCGGGTACAGCCTGGAACAGCGACAGGACTCTGAGAGCAAGAGGCAGAATCTTCCGCAGGACTCCTGTCAGGTGTGCCAAGCCCTGGCTTTGTGTTTTGGACCTTGCTCCAACACCTTTCGGTCCCGTGACTTTGCTGTCTGCTTCGAGGACATTTTTTTTGGAAATCCACATTATGTCTGCTTCATTCTTTGGTGTGGGTGGTTCATTTGTTAGGAATGAAATGCCATCAGCGTGGTATATTCTAAACTGTCTTTAGGCACAAACATCTGAGAGGACATAAGAATCAGAAGACTCGAGAGCTGGTTTTGATGGACAGAAGAAATAGCTTCAAGGAGTGAGCTGCTTCCTTCCAATCCACAGCCTGTGCGAAACTGACTTCCTCATAATTTTGCTGAGGATTGGCCTTGACACTGCCCACATCTTAAATTACCCTTAAATTAATCGAAGGGTGATAGCAAATCTCTAGGCATGATTAAGAACCTTTTAAAGGAGCAAAGTTCAGCATGAACAAAGGGGGACTACATGCAACCATAAACAGTTATGGTCCTTCGGCTTTTTTTAAATTCAAGATTGCTAATCAGCTTCTTGCCGAGGATGGAAGGTGTGCTATTTGTGTACATGCTAATCAAACTGGGCCAAACGTTAGGCTCACACAAGACTTATCCTTCTGCAAAGTCAATACGGGCCGTTAGTGGTTATCACTTCAACTACAAAGAGTTCGAAGCCAAGTACTATCGATCCAGGTAAAAGAGATAAAGCTGAAGGACTTGGCGTGCATGTTGCTGGACTGGGGTGACTCCTGCCCTCTGATTGCGCGTTTCACGGCATCATAAAATGAACTGTGCCGTAGCCCACAAGGCCGCGGCTCTTGCTGACGTTGCCAGTAATAACAGACTCGGAGAGGCCGAGCAGGAGAAGCAGGCACAGAGTTGGCACTGTACAAGGAGGGGGACTGGGAGCCAGAGGGTCCATTTCTGCAGACATTATGAGAGAGTCACAGCTGTTTTCTGCTCTGATGCCTGGACACTGATGTTACCTCTGTGTATTTTCAAGCTCTGTTAATAGGTGTCCACAAATTCAGGGTTGTTCTGTGTTCCTGCTGGAATCAATTTTCTGTCATTATAAAATGTCTTTTTGAAAAAAAAATACATATAATGATACTTCTTGCTTTAAAGTAAAGTCTGTCTCTATTTGAAAGAATCACAGCCACATCAGCTTTCTTTTGGTGTATGTGTGGTGCAGCTTTACCTGTCTTTTTATTCTCAAATTCCAACATCTTTTAAAGTGTTTCTAAACATATTTATTGGGTGGTGTGATCTCCTCCTCTCACTTGTACTCCTGCCACAATGCCATCTGCCTTAGGGACTTCATTGGAGCTGAGCAATGCTGGTGCTAAGCTTTAACTAAGTAAGACTTTTCTCTTCATAAAGTTGCCTGCCTTAGGTATTTCCATATAGTAACAGAAAATGGACAGATACACCTATTGTTAAATAGTATTAATCATGTTAGCTATCCCAGGCATCAGCAATTTTGAATCATATATCACTTAGGAATGGTGTGATTTCAAACGAGTTGCTTAACCTCTTTGCGGCTCTACCACCTCATTGTGAAATACTGAATTAGTAATAATCTCCCATAAATGCTTACTTTCTAATTTTTTAGAGGCTAAGACTTGATTCATGTTGGATGTGAGATTGGAATGTCAGTGATTTCAAATGCTGGTATGTAGAACAGTGTCACTCGTGACCAAGACCACATCCTGGGTCTAATGCTGAGCTAAAATCCCAGATGAATTTGTAACTTAATTGAACAAATGACTTTCAGGTCATTGTTTTCATTCCTGTCACATGAAAATAGATTTCTGGCAATGATTTGCTAGATCAATTTGCATATTCTAATTCTACTCAAAGTGGTAGTGTTGAATATAAATGCCCAACTTGTAAACCAGAATTAAAAATACAAACTCTTTTTTTTTTAAAAGGAGAGAGAGAGAGAATTTTTTTTTAATATTTATTTATTTATTTTTTAGTTCTTGGCGGACAAAACATCTTTGTTGGTATGTGGTGCTGAGGATCGAACCCTGGCCGCACGCATGCCAGGCGAGCGCGCTACCGCTTGAGCCACATCCCCAGCCCCGACAAACTCTTTAATATTATTATTTACAAATAATAATATCAATGCATGTTGATACTTTTCTGCATTTTTGCCTATTTGTATTAGTTTTACCAAGTGTCCTTTCTTGGTAAAGTACTCTTATCCATAGCAGTTGTGAGTATTTTATTTTAAATTATATCATTTAGCTAAAAGAAAATCCTGGAAACTTATAATAGTCTTTTATTTAAAAACAAATAAAACTTTTCACTCATTTATAAAATCTGAAAGTCTGTGAAGCATCCACTTGGATATACCATCTCCCAAACTTTATTGCTTCTCAACTTCAGATACGTTGTAACACTTGCAATGTATCTGTGCATCACAGAAATCATTCAATTTTTATTTATATTTCACTGCCTTTTATGGAAGAAATTATGTGAGAGTGGTATTCAAAGTTTTGGGAATTCTAAAAAAAAAATCACAGCAGTATGAACATATCCCACATTATTGATATTTTATATCCCTTCATTACAAATGAAAGCGACCGGGGTACAGAGGATGTAAATGACTTGCTTGAAATCTCATTGTCAGCCTTGGGTTCTGAAATAAACACCAATTCCGTGTTTTCCAGGCAAATGTGTGGTCTTCTGCCTGTTCTCCAATGGAAAAGCCGCGGGCACATCTCTTCCCCTTTCCAACACCCTCCTGTGCTCTGGGGGCCATGACACAGAGCTTCCCTGTTCCTGTTGACTCTGGAGTTCACATAGCACCCCTGCTCATCTCCAGGACTGGAGGAGCCCCA